CCAAGGGTCCTCGCCGAACCCCGGGACCGTCAAAACGACTCGGGATGAAACACCGGCCCCAGGGAAAGGGTCGGGACTTCGTACTGAAAAAATCAAGACGTATGTCTGGGCCGAAATCAAGCAACGTCGGATTGGTCCCGTGTCCTCCACGCAGGGGTTCACGCAGGCAGAGACCAGTGGGCCTGGGGTGGGGTGTAGGGAAGGGGGGTTCGCCTTGGATGCCTCAACTTGCCCAGAGCATGCATCGGACGTCTCGGCCTCCAGCCTGGATATTTGTATTCTTGCCCCCCACCAGTCTGGACCCCGAGATCCGACGTCGCAAAAACTTAAATCATGGTAGAGAAATTACTATCAGAACCCTATGGATCCCATCTTTCTACACCGCTTTGAAAGCGGGACCCATCTGTGAGGGCCCCGTGGCCCAGAACAGGGCAACATCGCCGGGCGAAAAACAACTGCGACGCCTCAGAATCTCAGCGCAGGGCGAGGACTCTGTTCTCGACCCTGGAGCTCGCCATCGCTCGGACATCCATTCCGTGTGCCTTTTTTTGGATTTCGTGCGACTATTTTGAAGACCAGAAAAAACGATACCCTTTGGGATGGGGCCTAAGTTAAGGGATCTTCTCTGCATATGTACCGAGCCAGACCGCTTGTTATTCTTAATGCAAAAAAACTTCAGGGAGGCCGCACCTTCATTGTGGTATTAGGGTTAGGGGTTCCTTTGTGCTCGACGTTCCTTTTCTTCCAGAATGAGGCGCCGATGCTCCTCGATGGTCCTCGCCGGGAAAAAGAAAAGGCACGCGTCCCAGCGATGCCAAGGGCGGCGCTGGGCCTCCAGCGAGGGGCGCCAGACACCGCTACACTCAGGTCGGGCATGTCTTCCTGCAGGCGGATTTTCGACGAAACATACGAGATCGTCACACCATGCTCAAAACATGGGAACACGAGTGTAGACACATCGTCCCCGGTCAATTTCTGCACTACCTTGGAACCTGCTCCTCCGGCATATGGGACAGGCCCGATTCAACGCTACGCGCGGCCCTTTGGACACCCGAAATGGGTACCGAAAGAATGGGTACAATGCCCAACAACAAATGTTGTCCCAAACCAACAGCGGCCGCTGTTGGACAGGCGGCCTTCTGTCTCGAGTGGACACAGGCCGCGGCGGCGCGGACAGCGAGCCCTGTTCAAAATGAACAGGAACTGCTGTTGGGCATTGTACCCATTCTTTCGGTGCCCATGTCGGGCGTCGACAACGATCAATGCTTTTCTCCTGCTGTACTCGCTGGAAGTACGTGACACGGGACAAAAAAGGCCCGCCCAGGACTCTGCCGACCCTGGGTGTGAACTCGCTGGCTAAGCTTGCTCGAGCCTGGAACTTGAGCCGCTTGCTCGGTGCCCATGTCGGGCGTCCAGAGGCCCTGCACGGGGCGTGCCCGCCTGCCTCCCTCCCCGGGCTGCCGGGGGCGCGCCGCGGCCGCGGGCGCGCGAGCGACCGCGCCGGAGCTAAGCAGCACCCGGGCGCCGCGGCGCGCTCGGCCGGCCGAGGAGCCCTGGGTTGGAGGAGGAGGAGGAGGAGGAGGAGGAGCGCAAGTAGCATGAGGCGCAGCAGGTGCCGATCTCATCTACATGCTGATGGCAGCTTGAGCTGCGCGCAGTAAGTGAACGTATGATGAGGGAGATTGGGGTGGGGATGCAGCGTGCCGTACTTTGTTATAAAAGTGAAATGACAGCACCGTGTATGCATGGGCACTCTCTCGCTCGAACTGGGAAGTATACAATGACGGGAGAGCGAGCCCGATGAGGAGGAGGAGGAGGAGGAGGAGGTGGAGGACGGCGAGGAGGAGGAGGAGGAGGAGGAGGAGGAGGAGGAGGAGGAGGCGGAGGTGGAGGACGGCGAGGAGGAGGAGGAGGAGGAGGAGGAGGAGGAGGAGGAGGACGGGGACGAGGAGGAGGAGGAGGACGAGGAGGAGGAGGAGGAGGAGGAGGCGGAGGAGGGGTCGGGCGACCTCGAAAGGGGGGCTGAATAAAGCGGGGGGCTGCGAATCAGCTCACCGTGGCTGGTTCCCCCGGCGCCTCCCGGCGCCAGAGGTGCAAATGCAATGTGAATCCCATACATATATATATATGTATATATATGTCTATGTATGTATATGTCTGTATATATTTACATACACATGTCTATGTAGGCACGGGGTAATTCAAACTTTTGGGGCCGCAGCTAATAAATGCTAGAGCGGCGCCAGATCGCCAGAGCCACGTCTCTCCCCATCACACGAATCATGGCAAAAAAACGTTATCCTAAATGCCACAGCCCCGTAGCCGCCTCAAACGCGGGAGACGAATAACTGTCCCCCTCTGGGAGATGACGGGGGGAGGGCCCCCCCCGTACTCACAATTGGATATGGTTGGGTCCTTCGCCAAGATGATTTTGATGTTTATCCATCCTGTGGTGTTGGCACTTCATTTTGACAAGATAATCCCCGCGTCTCCTGTCCTCTCCTCTGATCCTCCTTCCGCTCCCCCCTCCTCCCGTCACCCCCCTCACTGTGGCACACCCCTTCACACGTTTCGTGGCCCCGCTGGCTTGGTTAGTATGCAGCCCCCATCCAGTTTGTCACACTTCTCACACATTTCGTTGCCCCCATAGGGAACTCCACCGAAGGCCTCAGTGGCATGGTTCGCATGCCGTCCCCTCTCCACTTTGGTATACGCCTCACACGTTTTGTGGCCCCACATGGACCCCCACAGAAGGCCCCAGTGACTCCAGAGGCATGGTTTGAATGCCGCCCCCCATCCACTTTGATACACCCCTCGTACGTTTCGTGGCCCCATAGGGAGCTCCACCGAATGCCCCAGTCGCGTGGTTCGCATGCCGCCCCCCCCTTCCCTTTGGTACACCCCTCGCACGTTTCGTGGCTCTATAAGGAGTTCCACCGAAGGCCCTAGTGGCATGGTTCACATGCCGCCCCCCCTCCACTGTGGTACACCCCTCACACGCTTCGTGGCCCCATAGGGGAGCTCCACCGAAGGCCCTTGTGGCATGGTTCGCATGCCGCCCCCCTCTAATTTAACGCACCCCGCGCACGCTTCGTGGCCTCATGGGATATCCAACAAAAGGCCTGAATGGCATGGTTCGCATGCCGCCCCCGGTCTACCTTGGCACACCCATCACACGTTCCGTGGCCCCATAGGGAGCACCACCGAAGCCCCCCGTGGCAAGGCTCGCATGCCACCCCATCGACTTTGGCACACCCCTCACACGTTTCGTGGCCCCATACACCGCCGTGACAATAGTTTGGCCCATATATCTTGCCACGGTGGATGAAGGCGAGAACGTCGCAAGATTTGCGATGGCCCCCCCTCAATTTTGGCATACCCCTCGTGCGTTTCCCCGCACGGAGCTCTACCGATGGCCCCAGTGGCATGGTTCGCATACCGCCCACCCCATTTTGGCACACCCCTCAAACGTTTTCGTGGCCACATAGGGAGCTCCAGCGAAGGCCCCAGCGGCGTGAATTGCATGCCGCCCACCCCCACTTTGACACACCCCGAATACGCTTCGTGGCCCCACAGGGAGCTCCACCGAAGGCTCCAGCGGCAGCGCCCGCATGGCGGCCCTGCCACACTGCGGCGCACCCTTCGTGCGCTTCGTGCCCACAGGGAGGCCCGCCGACGGCAGTTCTCGTGACAGCGGTGCTCACGACTGCGTGTGGCCGGGTCCTTCGCCGGGATCATTTCTTTACAGCGCGGGCCTGCCTGGGCCTGCCTGACCCCCCTGGGCCTCTCGGTCGGCCGGCTCTGCGCGCCCCCGTCTGGCGGCGTCACGCTCGGAGCGCCCGGGCGCAGCTTCGAAAAGCAGGTCACGGAAGCTTCTGGCCGTCCCCATGACGCCCAATAGCCCACGGTGTGGACCCAAGGTGGCGCCATCGGGCGCTATTGGGTGCCATTTCGGCGCTAACTATTTGAACACCAATCGGGCGCTATTGGATACTATTCGCTGATGTGCATTCAATCCCAAACGACCGGAACCTTCCGCGACTCACTATCTGACACGAGTGCTGTTCTTGTCGGAGGCTCGGAACTGGGCACCACCAACACCACCACAGAGGGCTGCCTCTGCCACCGGGGGAGCCCGAGCCCTGAGCACAGATGTTGAGGATGGTGGTAATCCTCTGGCCACCTGGGAAGCCCGCTTCCTTCTCCCCCCTCCTCCTGCTGCTGCTGCTGCCCCTCCTCCTCCTCCTCCTCCTCCTCCTCCTCCTCCTCCTCCTCCTCCTCCTCCTCCTCCTCCTCCTCCTCCTCCTCCTCCCTCCCCTTCCTCCTCCTCCTCCTCATCCGCCCTCCTCCGCCCTCCTCCTCCTCCTCCTCCTCCTCCTCCTCCTCCTGACCTCCGTCACCGCGATCGGGATCACCTCCGACGTTGTCGTTGGGGCCCGCCTCGAAGCCTCCGATCTTGCTCGGCCTGCCGGGCCGTGCGGTTCGTTGGCCTTCCGCGCGGGTCCGCCGCCCCCCGCGCCGGGCATGGCGAGGGCGGGGGGGGGCTGGCCGGCCAAGGGCCCCTCGGCCCACGCCGGGCACCGCAGGGCTCGGTGCGCCCCCGGGGAGCCCTCGGGGAGGCGCCGACGGGACGGCCGCGAAGGCCAGGGCTGCCCCGCGGGCCTGCTGAGGCCAGCCTGCCTGCCTGGCCTGCCTTCCTCAGCGCCCCACACACGGGGACTCCACTGACGGGTACTTTGGCCAGTGACCCAGCGAACCCAACCCTTCCCGATGCGGGCAACGCTGCATTGCCAGAAAGAGGCCCTAAAGTGGCAACTTTCGGCAAAATTGCAAAGTACCCGTTAGTAAATACCCGTTACGGTGCCGTTGACTTCCAGGACTGTCTGCAAACCCGGGCCTTGCCAGCGCAGGTCTGCGCCCACCTGTCGACGGTGGGCTTGTCTCCTGGGCGTTTGGCCGACCGGCCCAGCACGGGCGCGCGGGCGGGCCAGGGGGGCGCGTCAGGCGCCGCCCTTGCGGTCCGCGCGCGCCGCGTCACACGAGGCCGGGGCGCCTCCGCAGAGAGATCGGGGCTGTCCAAGAGGGGGGCGTCCAAGAGGGGGGGGGGGGTCGCACATCGTGGCCTCAGGCGTGCGCGCGGCCCCGGGGGGGGTGGGGGCCAGGGGACGTCTTGAAATGCGGAGGGGCGCCGTGGCATCTGGGGAGAGATCGCGGCCCCGCCATGATGTCTACCCCCCCCACTCCGAGCCCCCGCGCCCCTCTCTTGGCCGCTCCCGAGGAGAGAGGAGGAGGGGGGGAGGAGGGAGAGAGGGCGCTCGCACGGACTGGCAGGGGGAGATGGCGAAGTCAGGATCGAGGCGCTTCTCCCCCCCCAGGAAAAATTGGAGGCCTCCCAGATCAGGGCTGGACCTAAACGCTGTTTCTCGTTGTGTTATCTTCTTGTTGTTCGTTTTGCTTTGCCAGTTCTCCTGCACCTCCCTGCCAAAACATAAAACAAACACAGCCGAAGTCCAACCAAATAGCGTTTAGGTCCAGCCCTGATTAAGGGTTCCCCCCAAAAATATTGAGACGCCTCCCAAATGGGGTCCGAGTAGATGGGTCAGAAGATCGCGCCACATCGCCGATGCATCGCCGATGCATCGGTGATGTATCGGCGACGCCGGCGGTGCATCGGCGACGTCGACTTGGAGAAAATCGGGCTTCACATCGAGCCGCATCGCCGATGTGGCGCGACCCCATGTGGGAGGCCCAGAAAAAGGCACTGCGCTCCACACGCGATCACTTCGACGCCCGTCGAAGCAGGGGCGAGCGGAAAACCTGCGACAGCCCTCAGACTCAGGACCGAGACGTTTGGACGTTTTCAGCTCTTTCTGGGCCTCTGGTCCCCACGGGCCATGCGCCTCAGTGAGGACTCTCGGGGTCCTCTGGAAGCCGCCCACCATGGAGACCTCCGAAGTCTTCCCAACCGGCCGGGACACCGTGCTTCCAGCCAGAGATTCGGCGGGGCAAACTTGCTGATACATTCAGAGAGCGAGCCTTGCGCGACCAGCTCCGTCACGAGGAGCCTCGCAAGCTCGGGACCGTGGCCTCCAGGGCTGATGCTGTCCGACTGCAAAGTATGGAACACATCACATCGAGTGAGCCCTTTTGGCTCTGCCACCGTCCCTGGGGCGCGAGTGGAGCCCCCCGCAAGACTCACACAGTTGTGAGCGGCAGAGTCAACTTGTGGGCCAGGCGCCCTGCCCCCTGAGCAGCATGGAGCTCCTGGGCCCGTCGGGGCACTCCCCGGGCGTGCCGCGCGAGCCCCTGGACACCCTTTCACGCTGCAGCGCGGCAGGGGCGACCCGCACGTGCGCGTCGGGGCGAGGCCGGGGAGCGGCGTCGCGAAGTAGCCCGCATGCAAGAGTCGGCGGCGAGCGACGGGGTGGGAAGCGAGGCGGTGCGTCGGCTACACGCAAGGAGTGGCCTTTCGGGGGGCCGCAGGGGGACCAAACCTGGGCGTTCAAGCAGCTGCTGCTGCTGCTGCTGCTGCTGCTGCTGCTGCTGCTGCTGCTGCTGCTGCTGCTGCTGCTGCTGCTGCTTCGTTTTCAGCCACCTGGAGACGCATCTGCGCCCGCACCAAAGGTCATTCTTGCGAAAGGTCACTTTTGCGTCTAGTCGAGGGGCGGGCCTTGTCAGGAGGCTGGGAAGCCCCCCGGCCTTCTGAGAAGTCTCCTGCGCCTTCCCCGAAGACACGGGAGACCTCTCAGAAGGCGTTGGGGGCTTCTGAGAAGTCCCGCCGCCTGCTGCGAAGGCCTTTTCCTTCTCACTTTCAGGGGGGGGGGCGTGCGAGCGCCTGGAGCACGCAAACCGATGGAGGACACGGCCTCTTCCGGAGCTTCGGCCGCAGAGGGTGCCTCGGGGCAGGTGCCCAGGACCTGTCCCTACCCAAGACGACTCAACACGCCCTCAGAGGCCTCCAGAAAGCCCCCCCCCCCCCCCCCCCCCCAGGGACCCCACGGGACCTCCCAGCGGCCCCCATCAGAAACCTCCCCGCGGCCCCCTGGAGGTCCCCACGGCTTGGTCGCGGGGCAAGCTCGAGGTCATTGAGCGCGTATGATTGCAATCCTGGGAGACGCAGCGCGAGGAGTCTGGACTTGCCCTCCAGCATCCGCCACCGTGCCTGCACGACGGTGGCTTGTCAGACTGCTTGTTCGTTGTCTGGTAGGGTCTGTGCAGATCTCCAGCGAGCGCCGTCAGAGAAAACGCCCCCTGGCCCTGCTTCCCGGCGCCCTTCTCAGCCTCTGAACTGTCCCACGGCGGCCAAAGACCGCCCCGAAACGGCTACCCGATGCCACAAAGCCACCTGACGACGCCCCGACGACCCCATCGAGCCCCAGAGGCTCCGAGACGGCTCCAACTGGCCTCAAGAGCCCCCCACCCCCCAAGACCCCAAGAACGAGGCCCAAAGAGGCCAACGACAATGAATGCGAAAACGACGCCCTCTGGAACTCCTGTGCTTGCGAGAACGCACGTTACCGGCCCCGCCCCCCCCAATTCCGCCGTCAGGGGACCAACTGCTCCGAAGCATTCCTTATGCCCCCCCCTCCCCCACTGCCCCCCTTCCCCCCCCTCGGTCACGCCCGTTATTGCCAGGGGATCAACAATTGCCTTCTGCTTATCAGGATTTATTGTTTCCGATCGCCTCGGAAAGCTTCAGAGAGCGCCGATAGCCCCACGAGGACTTACCAAAAAGGGTCCTGACGTGCACGGCTCTCTATCCCTCTATCTCTCTCTCTCTCTCTCTCTCTCTCGGCCGCCGACAAGAGGGAAGTACCCTCCTCTCTTTCGACGCTGCACTTTGTCCGTGGCGCGGGCCCATGGGGCTTCGTTGTTTGACCGCCCCTGGGGTCGGAAACCGCCCCCGCAGGCCGAAAACTAAGAAACATCGGCCGTCGCACTCTTCATGGCGACGCTCAAATCTGTAGGGATGAGCGACGGAGGAAACGAAGCCGGAATCATTCACCATCGCTCGGGCGTCCATTCCCCGTGCACTTTTCGGTTCTGTGCGCGTCTTTTCTGGCAGGATGCTCCAGGATGCTCCTCGGTAGTCCCCGCCGAGAAAGAATTCACACGTCCGAACGACGCCAAACAAAAACGCCATCGAATCGGATCGGGTCGATCGACAACGATATCGACTCGCACCGATCGGCTCGAAGTGTGCCCTGGATGAATGACCCAAAAAGGACCCCAAACCCTTTGGGAGGGGACTTCAGAGAGGAGGACCGAAAACATCAGGGACAAGGGCTCTTCTTTGCAGACGCATCGAACCAGACCGCCCGCATCTATTGTCGCTGATGCACAGATGGGGGCCTCCCGGCGCCTTTGGGTGGCGGAGGTGGAGGAGGAGGGGGAGGAGGAGGAGGAGGAGGAGAAGGAGGAGGAGGAGGAGGAGAAGGAGGAGGAGGAGGAGAAGGAGGAGGAGGAGGAGGAGGAGGAGGAGCAGGAGGAGGCATGGGTCCAGGAAGTGCACGGTGCACACCGCACGCAGGCGGGCGGACCGCAAGGGCAGGCAAGCGGCACCCCCGGCCTCCCCCTTAGGGGAGGAAGCGGGCCCGCAGGCGCGCGCACCGACGAACAGGGGATAGGCAGCTACCTCGTCGTCTAACGACTTGCCCCCAGCCGAGAGGGCGCGGCGCGTAGGGGGGCAGCCGGTTCACCTCGTCACTGCGAAGTACTTCCCGACTAGCAACCCCAGCCCAATCAGCTGGCATGCGCATCAGGGTTTTTCCCACAGGGCGGGCGGGCACAAGGCCACCATGGGACTTACGGGCCACATGACCCCGCCTCCCAAACAAATGCGCATTCCCCCGTGCCTGGTGCCCATCTCCAGGTCACGGAGCGTGGCTAGCGCGGCTGTCACGGGCAAACTGCCACGTGGCTGGTTCCAAAAGGCGCGGGCCGGTTTAGCTGCCCCAATTCGCCGAACGCAATCGACTCTGACGGTGTGCCCCGGGAAATGGCGCTGACACCATGAGAGCAGGTGCCAGGCCCCCACCTTCGGGGCGGAAGAGGAGGAGGAGAAAGAGGAGGGGGGGAGGAGGACAAGCTAGGTGCGCCCGCGTCATATCTGACGTCCTACCCCTCCCTTCTATCCCTTACCATGGCGTAGGACTACTCTCTATTCGCACAATCAGATGACGTAGCATGGCGTAGAATTACATGGCATAGCATGGTGTCGAATACCAACGCGTAGCATAACATAGCATGGCGTGGCGACGTCCCAAGGCGGGGGGGGCTCATGCAGCCCAAGAAGTCAACGAATCAACACCGATTGTGTAATCACTTCCGATGGTTTCTTCTGGAGGCCATTTTCTAAAGATTGTGGGGCCTATTTGGAAGGACCGAAAACCATGCTGGGGCATGGCGCTGGAAATAATGACGCCAGCGCTGCAGCAGCACGATTCGGAACGAGCGGAAGCGCAGAGATGAGGCCAGCGCTGCAGCGGGAGCACGATTCGGAGCGAGGGGTAGCCCGAAAATGAAGCCAGCACTTCAGCGAGAACAACATTTTGAAAAACACAACCCAAGCGAAAACCAAACTCCCAAGAATCCGTGTGAAAAACCAGTGCGCGGAGGGAGGCTGGACATTCACCAGACGCCACCAGGGGAGAGAGGAGAATAGTATTCATATGGTGTAAATGTCGAGGAGGAGGAGGAGGAGGAGGAGGAGGAGGAGGAGGAGGAGGAGGAGGAGGAGGAGGAGGAGGAGGAGGAGGAGGAGGAGGAGAGGGAGGACTGGAGGGAGGCCCCTCCCTGGCGCCTTTGGGCGGCCTGCCTCGGATCCTCTGGGCGAAGGCCCCGGCGACCGTGGAGAAGCGCCTGCGGGGGCGGGGCGCCGCGCGGCGCTGCCCAGGGGGGCGGCAAGGCCAGGCGCGGGGCAAAGGCCAAGGTCACGCAGACGGCGGTACTGCCGGGGAGACGCAAGACTCTCGGGTTCGGGGGACTCGGGTTGGCCTGACGAAGGGGACGGGGGACTGGGGTTCGGGGGACTGGGGTTCGGGGGAACTCGAACTCGGGGGATTCGAGGGACTGAAGATGACGATACCCAATCCGAGCTCCTGCTGCAAACATCCCACAAACACCGGACCGTCAAAATCCAGGTCGCGCTCGTCAAATTGTCCGAACTCGTCCGCGACTTACAGCCGGCCCGTAACATCAGGATGCGCGGTAAGGATGCAATGGTCGCCCATGTCGAAGCACCTCGAGCGGGGCGCGGCCAACGAACGTGGCCAAGGATGGGCCGAGGAGGCGAGGATGCAAGGGTACTCTTGGGAAGGTTGCCCTTGGCGGTCACGCTAACGTTTAGTCGGGCTTGTCCCTCTCCAGGAGGAGTAGTCCGAAATAGCGAAAAAAGTCTGGGGGCGATGTTTCGACTATGCTTGACTATGCTCGCACATGTTTTGATAAATCCTATGTTTCTTCCGAAGTCCGCCTGTACACGCTGACGGCGATGCAGTCAACGCGTATCAGAAGGATGCGCGGCAAGGGCGCCAGGGCCTCGGCCTCCTGTTTTCTGCCCCAACATCCTTCGCTTTCGGAGCAGATTGTGAGGATGTCTCAGGCGGGGCGCTGGTTTCAACACCCCTAATGGGAGCCGCTGAGGGGTATGACACGGTCCCGTTCGCGGCCGTTTTGTGGGGATGTCTCAAGCGGTTTGCCTGTTTTCTGCCCCAGCATCCTTCGCTTGGAGAGCAGATTGTGAGGATGTCTCAGTCGGGGCGCTGAAAGTCTCCCAAGTCTCCCAAGTCTGTCAGGTCTCCTAAGTCGCCCACGCCTCCCAAGCTTCCCAAGCTTCCCAAATCCCATGTCTCTCATGCCCCCCCCAAGTCCAGAAAATCCCCCAAGTCCCGCAAGTCTCCCACGTCTTCCATGTCTCCCAGCAGGAATACCAAGTCTCCTAAGTCTGTCAAGTCTCCCGAGGCGACCAACTCTCCCAAGTCTCCCATGTCGCCCAAGTCTTCCATGTCTCCCAAGGTTCGCAAGCCTCCCAAGTCTCCCGAGTCTCCCGAGTGCCCCATGTCTCCCAAGCCTCCCAAAGTTCCCAAGGCTCCCAAGGCCCCCGAGTCTACCACGTCTCCCAAGTTGCCCACGTTCCCCGAGTCTCCCAAGTCACCCAAACCTCCCACGTCATCGCTATGACCTATGAGGAGGAGGAACGAAGAGGATGGGCGCATATTCAGTCGTATTCGAACCTCACGTTCACTCATACTCACGCACATCGTTGTTTAACCGTCTTCGTCGGACCTGTCGACCACGTGGACGCGCTCTTATAGTCAGGCATTCATAGAGAAACGTTCACTATGGCATACCATAAAACATGAGATGCACATATGGGGAGCTCCTCGCAGTGAGTAATTTTCCAAGCGATGCCTGCAGGGAACAAGCGACCGCCTGTGTGGCTGGCAATATGCTTCGGCACGATCAACCACGTAAGACGACTTCGCACTACTGGCATCTCCACTGGAACCCCGGGACACAGGAGGGGGAGCATGTCCAAGGAGGAATGGGGTGCGAGCTAGGTCCTATAATCACCTCGGAGAGCACCGCGTCCCTCGGATCCTGGAGTCCACGAAGAGCAGCTACCCTATACAGATCCAGGGCTGCGGGGACGTCGAGAGGAGGGAGGCAAGCAGGATGTAGGGTTATTCGTAGGAGAGAGCGTGAGAGAGAGATACGCAACTTTGATCGCTGAGCTGGCGCAAAGCGATTGCGAATGTCAGGCGGGGAGGCATTTCAGAAAAGCATGCAGGACTCGGCGAGCTCTGTCCTCTGGTCCTGAGCTGCTGCCACAAGCGTACTCTCTCATTCGCGCAGCATATCTTGCTCGTCCTCCACGAGCACTGGCTTTTTGGACGCGCGGCTGCGGGAGACACCGACGACTGCACCCATAACGACGAGAGCGGACACCAATCCGAGCAGCACTGACACCGCAACGGACCCACAGCGACGAGAGCGGACACCAACCCGAGGTCGGCTCCGCCTCCGGAGCGGCATCGTACAAACGAAGCTTCGTTGCGCAAATGTCCGTGATGGCGGCGCCATTGCAGTCGGGGCACTCGGCAACGAGGATGTCCTTCGGAGAGTTCGCGGGCGCCGCGCTATTGTTGGAACCGAAGACCACATAGCTCTGCTGGGGCCAATGCACGAACCTCTCAGGGCAAGTCATGGTCTGGCAAGTGACGGTCTTGATGCAGATGTGGTGGTACTCCGAGCTTGTCGTTGGTACTCCCGCTCCACATGGTTTATAACAATATTTGTTGTCGTTGAAGCCGGCGGTGCTGCACCCGCATGGGATAGTACCATTTGTGCCACCTGACACTTCAAACGTGGCCCCCGCAACCCGTGGGGCAGACTGCCTGCACTCGGCCTCCGTCAGATCTTGCCACTCGCCAGCTGTAGCGAGTTGCGCGCATGTAGAACTCTGTCCAGTTGCTAGTGGCGTAACCTCTTGTATTCCACGGATTTCACGGTAGTCAACAGGCCCGCGAGCGAAAAGGCTCTCGCCATGAAGGCCATGGTTGCGCGGAGGGAGAAGCGCGGAGAGGTAAAGCGGGATATAGAAAATGAAGCCCTGCCTCGAGCAAGTAAGCTTAAGCCAAGCTGTTGCCCTGAGCAAAACTTGCTTGGCTCGAAATGGCTTGAGTCAAATTACTTGAGCCAAAATGGCTACGGGGAAATGCCGTACGCCTCCTGAATCGACATTAAGCAAGCAACCCAACCGAGAACAAATCGGAAGGGGGCCCGACGGCAACGGGTGAGATGCTGCAACATCAAATTACAGGCTGCGCCCGTAAACCGACTGTGCGCACGAAGCATGCAGAAGGCATCGTGCGGGTGACGAACATGAGCAGAGGACGACGGATGCGGTGCTCTCTGCTCTGTTTTCACAACTCTCTACTCTCTAATCTCCGCTCCCGGTGTTCAATAGTTACTCTCCCCTCTCCTCTCTGCCCTCACTACCTGTCACATACTCTCCACGCTGTGCCCTCCTCCTCCACCATTGACCTCCACCTCTTAACTTCCACATTCTGCCCTCGCCTTTCGACAACTTGTTGTTTCTCGTTTATACTCTCTACTTGCTGCTCTCAGGTTAATACTCTGCAGTTCTACGATGTACTCTCTGCTATGGCTGTGCACTCGAAGTCTACCAAACCTGGCCGCATACGGGAACCTACTAACCTAAGATCACTGAGCTGGGAACCTGAAAACTAAGCCACCATTGAACATCGACAGCGGACATTCACTAAATCCAAACATTATGTGCGGCCTAGAAAACCGAAACAGGGAACCCGACAACCCAGCCCCCTATCTAATTCGGAGGCGGAATTTCACTAAATCTTTCCACCGCGAGGACCCCGTGAGTGCAAACGCTGACTCGGAAACAACCTTCCAGATGCAACATGCAATGCTTGAAGGGCTGCTTTGCGTCGCCGAAGGGCTGGAAGAAAACGCTCCAACATACAACATAGAAAAATGCCCGGCTGCACGAAACGAGAACGATAAAGAACGAGATCGTCAAGAGTTAATCTAGATCCCCCGCGCAGCCATCATGCTCAACCTTATGGTATTTCTAAAAGCCTCCAGCCTGCTCCTCCTCCGTATCCCCATTACTCTGTCATGGTGGGCGCCACCTGGTGTGCCCCATTCTGGCCGCGTAGGTCTTGATCTCTTGCCTTTTTTCGGAACGAACGCATCATGGTGACAAGGGGGAACCAGCACGAGGGCAAGGAACAACATGCAATCAGCTCGTGGGGCATACACATGGCTTAAGGGTAAGGCAGGGGATGGAGGTGGGTTGGATGTACGCGCAAAAATGAAGCATTCAGACCACGTGCCTAGCCTGGCTATGGCAAGGGGCAAGGGGACATAAGACAAGGATTGCGAGAGGCGGAAGTGGCCACATTCTGTCGCTTCGCATCGTTTACCAGTCCATGCCAATCCACCGGTCGACCCGCAGCGACGCACTGCTGACCAGGACTACCGCCAGGTCTGGGCAACCGCGCCGTTGAGAGCACGAGACGACGACGCGCACCTCTCCTGCCTCTCGGTCAGAACTCCGTCATTCCTTCACCCTCTACACCCACCTCGCCTTCCCTTCCCGCCCTCCCGCGCTCACCTGCTACCCTCAGCCTCGAGAGAGCATGTCGCAAGAAGTGCTGTCGCTGAAGAGCCTTTAGCTCTTTCATGAGCGCTCGATGTGCTCGACACCAGCTGCGCTTACAGTCAACGATGGCTGCCACAGCTCACACCCGCTGACATCCGACTGGCTTCGCCAGCCAACTTGCCATAGCCTTACTCGCTCTGGGTGTCGCCAGTTCATGACCAAGTCACAACGCAAGAAACCTGGACCTGTGTCCAGATGCATCATGAGCAACGGATGGGCCCGCCATGCGCCCACAACTCCATGCACTTGCAATGGGAGGTTCAGGAGACGGCCAATTTCCCCGACGGTTGAAAGGGGCCCACAAACACACATAAATACACACAAATCCGGGGATTCCCTACACGTATCCATAGTTTCTAGGTTTTCGTCTTCCCCCCCAGTCCATATTTCCCAATATTTTAAGGAGAATCGACGATTCATTGTGCCTGTGTTTTTCCCCTCCTGATGGTTGCCGAACAGAAGTTGGGTCGCAACGCAGAGGTGGAACTTCTCAGGACTCGGCCCAGCTGTCGCGACCGCCTGCCAGCGCCCCCCCCCAGCTCCACTTGCCTTCGGAAAAGCGAACGCCAACGTGGAGCGATCCACCCAGGCCCACTTCTGCGCCAAGGCTTAAGTCCGCCATGTCCCCCTACAGGCGGATTTTACCATAAAACATAACAAATACTTACAACATCGAAACCAATTGCCCTAGCCAGCTCAACCTGCAAACCCGTCCAACCAGCCAGCCAGCCCACCCAGCCACCCCGCCACCTAGCCAACCCGTCAGCCAACCAGCCCAGCCGCCCACCCCGTCATCCCGCCAACCAGCCGATCCCCTCCGCCTGCTCTCCGTGCCAAACCAGCCACCCTGCCAACCCGCTCTCCCCCGCCGCCTGCCCTCCGTCACCGCCGAGAGGGGGGGGTGGAAGTGTTTCTTACCAGCGTAAACCAAAAAACTAGCCCTCCTGGGGACCGGCGGGACAGCGGGGAGGGGGCAAATCGCACCGTACTATGCAGGACCGGGAATGGCGGGGGGGGGGGGCCTGGCACGGTTTTGGGCCTCAAGTGTGTAACTGTCGTCATTTTTCAACGTCCACCGCGCCCTCTTTCTCAATGGGAAGGCTCCCATCCTTGAAACTGTTGCCAATTTTGAGGCCCCGCGCGTGGCTTCTTAGAGAGCCGCCAAGAGGCCCCAGGAGGTCTCAGGATGCATCAGGAAGCTCCAGGAGGCTTCAGGACGTCCCCGGAGGCCGTGGGAATGGTAAGGAGGCTCCAGGACGCTCCAGGAGGTCCCAGGATGCCCCGCGAGGTACCACAAGGCCCCAGGAGGTCCCATCACGCTCCGGGCGTATCCTGAACGACCCAAAAGTTCCAGAACGCTGCGGACGCCCCTGGAGGGCTGAGGATACCCTAGGAGAGCCCAGGAGGTTTCAAGAGGCCGCAGGAAGTCCCCAGAGGTTGCTATCCCAGGAGGCCCCCGGGATTACCAGGAGGCTCCATGAGGTCCCATGGTCCATCACGCCCGAGGTAGGGAGGGGGAGGCGGAGGAGGAGGAGGACGTGGAGGAGGAGGAGGAGGACAAGGAAAAGGAGGAGGAGGAGGACGAGGAGAAGGATGAGGAGGAGGACGAGCATGATGAGGAAAGGATGAGCAGGGTGACAGCGTGACGCCCCAGCAAATACACTTGGTCCAATTGGTTTCTACCCCCGTGAGGGGCGTTACATGGTACTCGAAGATGTCAACAATCATCCAAATCTTGTCCCCGATATGTTTTACTAGTTTTGAATTTTCCTCCTGTAGAGGGACAGGCCCACTCCTACGCCGAGGCCCATGCGGTGCTGTCCGAGATGGCTGACCGTGGAGCCGCTCTGCCCCTGGCAGCAAGCGCGATGGCGGGCGTGAGCAAGTGCTGCCAGGAAGCCTCGAAGCCGCCTGGCACGCCCTGGTCAGGAGGGCCAGCTCCGTCGTCGCTGCTGCCAATCAGACCTTGCCCCTGAGGGGTGGGGTCGCTGTAGCCATATAGGGGAACAATCATGCTGTCAGTGCATCTCGAGGGTTCATACGTACACTTCTATGCCCTTGTGCCCTGCTCAGCAGCAAACCCAGCCGGAGGGCACTGCGTGAGCCGCGCCGGCGGCCCCTCATGGTTTGCTCTCTGTACGCGCTCTCGCAATTTTGGGGGTCCGCCGAGATGCCGACGCTGCTCCCCCCCCCGGGACTTTCCTGGGGGGGCATCCTGACCATGGTTCCGAGGCGACGTCAGCCGCGCCGACGAGGGCCCCCGCCCGATGCCCCGAAAAGGCAACCACGAGAGAAGGGCATCGGCACTAGTGCATTCTGATTTTCTCCTCTGAAGCCCCGCCTCCTCGTTCTTCACGGCCCAAATAGGCGACGATCACAAACGGATCTTACGCGAGATGGCATAGCGACCTCGCGCGGCGGCTTACGCGGGCCAGCAGCACGGCACGCTACTGTGGAGACGAGAGCGCTTGCACGCGACCTTGCGCGGGCAGCTTACGCGCGAATGTCGGCGCACATGACCCCGTTTTGCTGCATCGCTCAACTGGGAATACAACAAACTGCATAACGATAATGTCTCTGACGTCCCCTCGGATTTCTCGGAGGCCAGCGAGCTAGGGCGGCGCCAGAAGTGCCGCCAGGGGGGGCCCAACGCCGATCAGAAAGATCCGCGCAAACTTCTGGAAGGGCTATGTTTGCGCAGTGCTTCTTCGTAGAATTTGATATTTCTCCTCTGGGCCCCCCCCTTCTAGAGGACTCCCAGACGGGGACGGAGCAGATGGGGTCGGAGGATGCCGATGCATCGCCGACGCGTCGGCTATGCACTGACGACGCATCGGCGACGTCGGCAATGCATCTGTGGTAGCAGATGGACCGGATATGTTTTCCACTCGAGCCACAAGGCGCGCTACAGCAAACCATGGCCACAACCCCTGAGCCCCTGAACGGAAACGATCATTGAAAAACGAAAGACTTCGCAAACCCGTCCGGACTTCTCATAGGTTCAGCTGTCTACTGGAGACCAGCGTGTGTAGTGTTTTGCAGCATCGCGGCTCATTCGGTATCCCCCGAATAACATACTATTGATTTCCGCCCAACAAAGATTCACATATTTGTCGTGCAGCACATCTTTCTCTCTCTCTCTCTCTGTCTTTCTCTCTCTCTCTCTCTCTCCGTCCACCCGGCCATCTGAGGAGGAGATAGGAATCGGAGGGGGAGAGGAGGTAGGGAAGGACGGAGGACCGGTACCACCACCACCGTCGACCACCGGCACAACCAGGGCAGGATTCAGGAACTCCTCCCAGAAAAGGGAAACTGGCATTGTCTCGAACTCTTTCCATGATGCTGACTGCGACCGCCCCTTGAGTTCTGGGGCAGTCTTCCTCCACTCTACTTCCGAACCCTCAGTCGCCAGCTCGCAGAAAGCTGCGTTACAATGTATAATTTCGCCTTTAGTGAGTGCATCCACCTGCATTCGGCTGCGGGAAAGCCGATGGACACGGCCCTGCGTTCTCTCTCTCTCTCTCTTTCTGAGAGAGATTCACAGATGATGGCTAAGTCAAGGGTGGTTCTCCTGTCTTTCGCCGATGCATTGCCTTCCTGTTGCACGGTGTCGCAGACGGATTTGGCGCCCACAACGTGAACTTGGCCCTCGCGACTGCCCAGGCTACAGTCTTGACGAAGGACCGCAGTGAAAGGTCTGGCTGCGCGACGGCACTCGTGCATGTCCACGTCGCGGACCATCGCGTCGCGGCGCGGCGCGTGCAGATATTCTACTTCGGCCACCGCCGCGCAGGGTGCCTGGGCCTCTCTGGCATGTGGTTGCCACTTTGCGCCTGAGCTCCCCTGCCCCGCCGCGCCCACGACCCTGGCCGATGCGGCTTCTCCCTCGGCCTCCAGTGGCGGCTCGGGAGCCGCGGGGCTGAGCCTTCTCGGGGGCCATTCCCGGCTTCGCGCCGAAGTGCTCGCGGTCGCGCTTCGTGGCCCTCTTCATCTCCTCGTTTTGCTTCGAGGGCCCGACGTTGGCCAGCGTCGCGAGGGCGCTCGCGACCTCACCCTCGCCCGCGTCGAGATCCTCGAGCTCGGCCGGGAAAGCTGTTTCGCCGAGCTCGTCCTCCTGCTCATCCTCGTCGTAATAGTTGCCGCCCTCGCCCGTCTCGAAGCCGACGTCGCCGCCGTCGACCGAACCAGAGTGGGCGGGGGGGGGAGGAGGCTCGCGCTCAGAAACAGCGGCACCTAACTCAGGATCTGCCGGGCCTCGGCCCCCAGAAGTCGACGTCGCGCGCATGCCCCCCGGGCTCGGTCATCCTGGGAAGGCAATTCGACGAAAAGCCCAGGCCGCGTTGGCAGAGTCGAGTTGGCCTTGCGCCAGCGTTCTCAAGTATTTCGTGCCTTAAGCTGTCAGACCAGCTCCTTCCTCCAAAAAACGCCCTTTGACCTTGGGAGACGTCCGCAGGTCGTGATTCTCCGCCCCGCGAACTGCGTCAAACTCGCCTTCTGGTCGGGGTTCGCCTCGAACAGCGCCCTGCATCCTGCTCTACGAAGCTCGTCGCCTTCGCGAACTCCCGTCATCATGTCCAGTCTCTTAAGAAGGATGTCGAACCACTGCTCGGGTGCGAGATCCGTCTCGCTGATGTCGTCGAAGCTAGCCTGCGTCGTGTAGTCAATAATCTTCATGAGCTTCTCATTTCTGCGCCATGCTGGAACACTCGTGTGGCGGCTCCATCGGCGCAATGCCTTGCGCCACTGTCTGTAGCGCGTCCACCCTGGCCAGGTAGGTGGATCCGAACAGTTGCCTCGCGCGCCTGGCCAGGCGCTCGACTGCCAGCCTTGGCTGCCTCAGCGGCCATCAGCCCAGCTGTCGGCTCCCCAGCTGCTGCCGCCAGAGCCAGCGCCGCTCCATCGCCCGCGCTCCCGCTGCCACCAGCCGCCATGCTGCTCCTTGCCGCGGGTGACGGCGCCGGCCCCTGCCGCGGCTGCCTTCCGCCGCCCTCGACGTGCCAAGTGTCGTGCTCCGGGTCGTCCCAGGGGTCGGCCCCGGCGTCGGCTGGCTGCCACGCGTTCTCTTTCTAGCCCGACCAGGTCGTCTTCTCCTTTCCTGCTGCCCGCGCGTCCTGACCTGAGGACGTAGTCTCCCTGACTACACACCTGTATCAGGCCGCGCAGCGCCTCGGCGCTCAGGCGGGCCTCCAGCTGCCAAGCGGCAGCCCGGCTTGCTGAAGCCAGCGACCCCTCGCCAGAAGTGCTGGCCTTGGCCTCAGCGCCCTTCTTCTTCTTCTTGCCCTGCTGACCCGCGTCGTTTTCAGTGGGCATCCTGTGGGTCCCTTCGCCGCTCAGCCGCTGGAGCAGAGCCTGGCCCAGGCTCGCGAGCGCCAGCCGGCTGCCCTGCTCAGAGCTGCCGCCGCCAGGCGCCCATGACCTGCAAGCCGAACCCCGCTCCGCTACCAACTGTGGCAGCAGAAAGATCGGCGATCTTTTCCACTTGAGCCACAAAACGCGCTTCCGTACACAATGACCACAACCCCTGAGCTGAACCTATCACTGAAAACAGAATTCGCACACATCGGTGCGGTCGGCGTGGAGAACCACGGGCTCCACATCGAGCCGCACCGTCGATGCATCGGCGATGCGGAGCGATCCTCCGACCCATATACTCGGACCCCATCTGGGATGGAGAAACCAGAAGGTACCAATACCCCTACTCCCCAGACCTCTCACGGGGTGTAATCTGACTAGAATTGCGAAGCGAATCCAGCGGTGGCGACGAGGGCCTCCCAGGAGGCCCCAAAAAGGGCGATACCGAGGCAAAAGTAACAACATGTTGTGCTGCATCCTCGAGGGACCTTGTCTGTCTGCTCGCGGCCCTATCCGCTTCGAATCCGTGTCGAATCCATGTCGGCCTCAATGGATCCGTGTCGAATCCGTGCCGAATCCGCGTCGAATCCACGCCACATCCGCGTCGAGCCCGCATCGAGCCCGCAACGGGCACAAAAAAAACACCAATCTGGGGGACAGGCGAGGCCCCCCAAAGATGCAACGCAAGTGGCCTACTGATACGGAGCTCAGCACGCAGACCGACAACGTAGGTCCGGCGCGACTCGCTCGCCAAAACGTGGGCCGATGCGTGGAGCCAACACGCAACGTACTGACACGGACGTCTTGAGCACGGCACGTGCTGTGTGTTCCACGCGGGCGTATCGAGGCAGCCGCGCACCCGAGGGAGGCCCGGACCCCCCGCCGTCCGCCGCCCGAGGCAGCAGCCCCGGCCGGCGCGTCGCCTCCCGAGCGCGTCTGGTGCCCACGCGCCCGATGAGCCCCTCGCGCCGGCGGGGGGCCCGCCGCGCCGCACCGGCGCTGCACCCCTCCCATCGGGTCCGGCCACGCTCGCCAGCGCCTCCCCGAGAGAGGACCCCCAGAGGAGTTCGGAGTACGGTCGGCCCGTGTCATAAGGATGCGCGGTAGGGATGCAAGGGCCTTGGACGCCCATGTCGAAGCTTTCCGAGCGGGGTGCGGCCAACGAAAGTTGCCAAGGATGGACCGAGGAGGCAAGGATGCAACGGTAACCTTGGGAAAGTTGCCCATACTTACTATGCGAGTTGACTGTAGATGGGGTCGGAGGACCGCGCCGCATCGCCGATGCTACGGCGATTGTCGGCGAGGCATCAGCGATGCATTGGCGACGCTGGCGTGGAGAACCATGGGCTCCACATCGAGCCGCATCGGCGATGCATCGGCTATGTGGCGCGATCGTCCGACCCCATCTACACCGACTCTATCTAGGAGGCCTAGACGCACCCCCCCCCTCGCATCCGGCCACGCTCCTAAGTATAACTTCCAATTGGGGCGCTCCAGAACGGGCCTGGCCTGCGAAGGATCTGGACGTTGGCATACTTTCCTGAGCGGAAGGCAGCGGAAGGCCAGCGAAAGCAAAACTGGGGGCGCAAAATCGGTGCCCTCAAGCCCGCTCCAACTTCCAATGTCTTGAATGGAACATGTTCGCCATTTCCTGCCTCCGAGGCACGCTTTCTCCAAGGCGCTGAGAAAATGATCTGCCACAAAACATCGGCCCACGGAGACGGGGACGACAGGTCTGCGGGGACACGTGTCGAACAACCACGGCACAGGAAGTGTAGGAATCCCTCCCCGCCCCGTCCTCCTCGCTCGTTCGCTCGCGCACCTGAGGGCCAATAGGTTCGCAACCCATGCTTCAAGAAGAACGAATACGCGAAGACAATACAACTCCCGCTGGGTAGCATGTGCGTGCAGGGAAGGAGGGAGGGGGAAACACAGACAGGCCCGTTCTGCCCGAGCCCACGTCCCTGCCAGGCTCAGCACTCACAAGGGCACCTCCGCCCCCAGTACCTCCTCCTCCTCCTCCTCCTCATCCGCCCCCCCCCGTATTGGGAGGCAACTCCTTGGAGGCCTTCGTAAGAACGATCAAGGGCCCTTGAGCCCGATTACGGGGCCATTCTGCCAGATAGTCTGGCTCAGGAGGGGTAGTGAACCCAATTTAGCAGGATTAAGCAAGATCAGCCGTGTCTATGCTGGATTATGTCGGTTTTCGGCAACGGATACATGAGCGCCGACTCTGAATTCGACTTCCAGGGAGTTGCATCACAACCCGTACGCTAGAGGATCGACGTTTTGGCTTGCTCTGGGTCCCACCTGAGCCTCCAAAGCCCCCGGAGGCCTCCGAAAGCTTCCGGAAGACCCACGTGGACTCTGAAAACCTCCGAGAAACCTGGACATCCGGAGATGAAGTCTTTTTGATCCGTGGGCCCTGGAAGCCGCTGCCCCTTACTCGCTTGGGAAACTTTGAATAATCATCCGCTTGCCCTGGGCACGAAAACGGACCCCCCGAGAGCGACATGCACGAAGACATCTGGATTTCCAATACCAATCCGGCGGAAGTTTGGGAGACCCCCCCAGCTCCATCCTACGCCTCTTCTTCACCGGGTTGAAACCCATCCTGTAGAACCTGTCTGGGAAGATCGCCTCCGGCAGGAGCAGGAGGATAACAGGAAGGAGGAGGAGGAGGAGGAGAACGAGAACGAAGATGAGCAGGAGGCGGATGGAGCATGGAGGAAGATTAATCATAACCTGACAGGGAAGGTCGCCCCCAGCCGGCGGAGGCGGGGGGGGAGGCGCGACGGCCCAGACAACATTGCGGGAGTTACGTCCACCGCCCCTCTGACTGGCGAGGGCGGGGGGAGGAGGGGGTCGGGGGAGAGGACGGGAGGCAGTAGCAGAAGAAGAAGAAGTAGCTGTGGTGAAACCAGCTGGAGTAGTAGAAGTAGTAACAGCAGCACTGGACGTAGACGTGGTAGCACGTGCATTGGCAGTGGACTAGCAATCCGTGTCATAATCATAGTGGGGGGTGATCGTAGCAGTGATAATAGTAATAGTAGTCGTAGTAATCCTAGTAGTAGTAGTAGTAGTAGTAGTAGTAGTAGTAGTAGTAGTAGTAGTAGTAGTAGTAGTAGTAGTAGTAGTAGTAGTAGTAGTAGTCGTAGTAGTAGTAGTAGTGGTAGTAGTAGTAGTCGTAGTAGTAGTAGTAGTAGTAGTAGTAGTAGTAGTAGTAGTAGTGGTAGTTGTAGCAGTCGTAGTAGTAGTAGAAGAAGAAGAAATAGTAGTATTAGTATCACTAGTGATACGATAGTTAGTAGTAGTACTAGTAGTAGTAGTAATAATAGTAGTAGTCGTAGTCGTAGTCGTAGTCGTAGTAGTAGTAGTAGTAGTAGTAGTAGTAGTCGTAGTAGTAGTAGTAGTAGTAGTAGTAGTAGTAGTAGTAGTAATAGTAGTCGTAGCAGTAGCAGTAGCAGTAGTAGTAGTAGTAGTAGTAGTAGTAGTAGTAAGAGTGGCAGTACGTTGTAATAAAGATAATCATGGTACTACGGGTAATCGTGGTATTAGTAGTAGCCGTAGTACTAGTAGCAGTAGTAGTAATAGTAATAGTAATAGTAGTAGTAGTAGTAGTAGTAGTAGTAGTAGTAGTAAGACTACTCGTAGTAGTAGTAGTTGTATCAGTAGCAATAGTAATAGTAGTAGTGGCATTCGTGGTAGTAGTAGTAGTAGTAGTAGTAGTCGTCGTCGTAGTAGTAGTCGTAGTAGTAGTAGTAGTAGTAGTATGAGTAGTAGTAGTAGTAGTAGTAGTAGTAGTAGTAGTAATAGTAGTAGTAGTAGTAGTAGTAGTAGTGGTAGTAGTAGTAGTAGTACTAGCACTAGTAGTAGTAGTCGTAGTAGTAGTCGTAGTAGTAATAGAAATAGTAAGCAACACTAGTAGTAATCGTAGTCGCAGCAGTAGTCGTAGTCGCAGTAGTAGTAATAGTAATAGTAATAGTAGTAGTAGTAGTAGTAGTAGTAGTAGTAGTAGTAATGATACAGGTAGTGCTCAGAATGATAGGAAACGCCGTAGTTGTAGTAGTAGTAATCGTGATAGTAATAGTAGTTGTAGTCGTAGTAGTAGTAGTAGTAGTAGTAGTAGTAGTAATAGTAGTAGTAGTAGTAGTAATCGTAAGAGTAATAACAATAATGCTACTACCCGTAACAGTAATAATACTAATAGTAGTAGTAATCGTGACAGTAACCGTACTACTAAAAGTAACCGTAATCGTAGTAGTAATCGTAGTAGTAATAGTACTAATAGTAGAAATAATCGTCGTTGTAGTCGTCGTAATCGTGAGTCGTACTACTCGTAGTCGTGGTCGTAGTCGTAGTGGTCGTGGTGGGAGTCGCAGTACATTCAGCAATACAAGTAGTAAGACTTGTACTAGTAGTAGCATTAGTAATAATACTAATCATAGGAATAATAATGGCAATCGTAATAGTAGAAATCGCCGTCGTAAGAATAATCGTAGCAGCAGTAGAGGTACCCAGAGTGGTAGTCGTAGTAGCAGCAGGAAAAGAGTGGTAATAGTAGTAGCAGTAGTAGTCGTAGTAGTAGTAGTAGTAGTAGCAGGAGTAGTAGTAGTAGTAGTAGTAGTAGTAGTAGTAGTAGTAGTAGTAACCGTAGTAGTAGTAGTAGTAGTAGTAGTAGTAGCGAAAATAATAGTAATAGCAGTAGTAGTAGTAGTACTACCAGTAGTAACAATACTAATAGTAGTAGTCGTAAGTGTAGCAGTAGTCGTGGCAATAGCAGTAGTTGTCGTAGCCGTAGAAGTAGAAGTAGTAGCGGTACTAGTAGTACTGGCCGTGATCGTAATCGTAGTTGTAGTAGTGGTAGTCGTTTAGGAGACTCGAGTATTACCGGCGGTAGCCGTAGAAGTAGTAGCAGTAGTAGTAGTAGTAGTAGTAGTAGTAGTAGTCGTAGAAGTAGTGGTGGTAATTATTGCAAAACAGAACTCATAAAACCATCGTAAACAGAGTACTAGTCATAGTAGTCGTAGCAGCCGTACTCAGAAAAGCGACAGTAGCAATAATACTAGTAGTAACCGTTGTGTGTGCAGTAGTAATGGTACAATAGTGGTAGTAGCCGTACTCTGACAGTCGTATGAGTAATAATAGTAGTAGTATCAATAATGGAAAAAATAATAATTGTAGTCGTCGTAGTTGTTGTAGTGGCGGCCGTACTAATAAAAATAACCGTCGTGGGTGTCACCCCGTAGAAATCATAAAAAGTAGTTCTTGAAGGAATAGAAGTAGTGGTAGTAGCGCGAATCATAATAGGAGGCGTGGTGGCAATAAAACATTGAAGTAGTCATAGTGGTAAAAGCAATAACGATAACGATACGAATATTAATAATAATCGTATTCGGAATAGCAATCGAAGTAGTAGTAGTAGTAGTAGTAGTAGGAGTA